CTGCCTACAGCAGGGTTAGCCTGGGAGGTAAGTATGAGCCCTGGCCCTGGTCCAAGGGCTTGCACCTGAGCACTCTTGGGAAGGAGGGTGCCTAGCCCAGGGGACCCACCCAGAATGCAGGAAGTCAGTGTACTGAGCCGGTTTTGTCACCTGCTGTGCATTGGCGAGGGGAGACAAGGAGGTCACAGTGGCCTAAACCCTCTGTGCTATAACCTGTTACTGAGTGCTGCCTTGAGGTGCCTTTCTCCTGCTCATCTCCCCCTCTAGCCTCCTCACCTCCCCCTCTAGCCTTTCTTGTTCCAGGCCCTTCCTCCTGTCTGTACTGGAGGAGCAGGCCTCCAGGAGAAGAGGACAGAGGCTTATTTCTTCTCTAGAAGCAGAGCCTGGGGCAGGGCCCTAACACTGCCTGCTCAAACTGCTAGGTCGTCAGGCCCTGTCAACGCTGGTGACTGCTCTCTGAGCCACATTGTCATTCTCTGAACTCTGGTCCCTCTATCACCAACATTGTGAATATAACAGACACCAGAGGCGGGCCTTAACCTCAGGCTCAGCTGGGGCTGTGAAGTGAGGGACATCATTCCATTCCCATGCAGCTGTGTGTCTGGGCCAGAGCCCTGGAGGTCACCACCTTACACCCCGAGGACCTGCTCTTTGAGTGCTAGCTCCAACAGAAGCTATTAGTGACATGTGGCTAGTGAGGCCAAGGAACTAAATTTTAAACTCTGTTAACTTTTTCATTTTATTTATCAATTAAGGATTTTTAAAGCAGTATCTATTCAGTTGTAGACAAACTTCTCCGAACATTTGGGAAATTAGGTTTGTGAATGTAGTCTCTCAATTTTAAAAGCTAAATATTTGAAAATACACCCTGGATTTAGAAGATTTAGCATAAGAAAAGGAAGATCTAAGTAGTACATATTGATTACATCTTGAAATTTACACGTTGGGTTAAAGGGCTTATAATTAATGAATTTCACCCATTTATCCTTTCTTAAAATGTGGCTAATTAATTTTTTATATCTCGTGTATAGATTGCATTATACTTTTAATTAATGTGTCTCTAGTCTTTGTTTGTTTTTTCTTTGTGTAGCTTTGGCTGTCCTGGACTCACTTAGTAGACCAGGCTGGCCCCGAACTCACAGTGACCCGCCTGCCTCTGTCTCCCCGAGTGCTGGGATTACAACAGTTGTGCACTGCAATTCCCAGCTGTGTCTCTAGTCTTAGTTTGGGTTTCCATTGCTGTGATGAAACAGTAGGACCAAAAAGGCAACTTGGAGAGGAAAGGGTTTATTTGACTTACATTTCCATATCACTTGCTGTTTGTCATGAGAGAAAGTGAGGACAGGAACTGAAACAGGCAGAAACCTGGAGGCAGGAGCTGATGCAGAGTCCACGGAGGGGTGCTGCTTACTGGCTTGCTCCTTGTGGCTTGCTCAGCCTGCTTTCTTACAGAACCCAGAACTACCAGCCCAGGGATAGCCCCACCCACAGTGAGCCGGGCCCTCCCCCATCAATCACTAATTATGGAAATACCCTACAGACTTGCCTGTAACTTGATCTTACGGAGGCATTTTCTTAGTTGAGCTTCCTTTCTTTCAGATAGCTCAAGCTTGTGTCAAGTTGACATAAAACTAGCCAGCACATCTTTCTCTTCTCTTGCCTCAGGCTCCTCAGTAGCTGCGTGATGGCAGGCCAGGCACCTGTGCCTGCCTTACATCATCTCTCTACTGCACAATGTTGTTATAGCCAGTGTGGAGTTGGACACATTCCAATAACAATATAAATCTCTGTAAAGGCTAGTTACTTGAGGAGATTTGGGGAGACAGAGCAGGCTGATATTCCTTGCCTCACCTCCAACCCTGAATGCCTTTTGGCGAGATATTACCGTGGATAATCCCGTAGCCTCCAGGGTAACATTGCTTCTCATTCTGGCCATGACACTTGCTCTGTGTGACTTTTGGGTACTTTACTCTGCCGAAGCTTAGTCTGTCATCTGTCAATGAGGCTGATGGCCTTTGAGAAATGATCCCAGGAAGCATCTAGCATAGTTGGCACACTTGATTCTGATTGACAGTGGCTCCTGTTGCCACTGATCGTGAGGACATTGCTACCAGTGCGACATCCGCTAGTGGGTTTGGTTGGGCCACTTGCTTGGCTGAAGAATGGACCAGAGGGAAGCATGGGAGCTGGGATGGGGAGCTGGGGTTGCTTTGTGTGATACCTCAATCAGTGGCTTGCCTTTGGGAGGACCCTTTTGGATCCCCCTTTATGGCATGATCAGGCAAAGATAAGTTCCCATTTTGCAGATGAGGAAGTAGAGGCCTACTTAAGGAAATTTCCTAGCTACATAGACAGCACAAGTGCAGGACCTCCCAGCCCTGTTTTAGTGATGTCAGAGCCAGCGTTAGGAGGGCATCTTTCCTTGAGGCTGTTATAGGAGACAGGAGCAGGTAAGGAGTGGCCTTATTAATCTCCTGTAACAGAAGAGGGTTATTCTGGTCTGCTTTCTATTGCTATGATAAAAACCATGACCACAAGCAACTTGGGGAGGAAAGGATTTGCTTGGCTTATACACCAGGTCATAGTTCATACCTGAGTGAAGAAGTTAGGGCAGAAAGTCAAGGCAGGATCTGAAGCGGGAATCATGGAGGAATGCTGCTCACTGGCTTCCTCAGCCAGCTTTCTTATATAACCCAGGACCACGTGTCCAGGGGTGGCCCCTCCCACGGCAGATTAGGCCCCCACAGACTTGCCTACAGGGCCCATAGGATGGAGACAATTTCTTAATTGACATTCCTTCCTCCCAGGATTCTAGCTTGTATCAGGCTGACGAAAAGCCAACCAGCACCGTGTCTTTTTGTTTGTTTGTTTGTTTGTTTTTGTGTGTCTGTGTGTGTGTGCATGTTTGTGTGTTTGCACATATTGGGAGGTTAGAGGATGGTCTATGGTGGTATCCCACAGGTGCCACCCTCTCCTTGCCTCCCAGCCCCCGCCCCCAGCCCCCCGGCCAGGGTCTCTTTATATACCCTCGGTTGTCCTGTCCCCTGCTTTATAGAACAGGCTGGTCTTGAACTTGCAGTGCTCTTCCTGCCTCTGCCTCTGGAATGTGGTGGTGAGAGGCTGGCACCCTCCCTCCTGGCCCTGAGAGAGTCCAGACACTGTTTAGTGTAGCTGTGTCATGGTGGAGCTGGAGACACAGAGGAGGAAGGGAATAGGGAGGGGAGGGTGGGAAGTGTGGGAAGGTCAGGCCGGGATCACAGCAAGATGGTGGACAGTTGGTGCCTCTGTTTATTTAGATCCAGCCCTCTGCTCACCCCTGGCAGGACTGTGGCCTCCTCTCCCGTCTAGTCCCCAGAGAGGGCATCTAAGAAAGAAGCTTTTGTTCCACCAGCAACTTCTGTTTTTCTTAAGGTAGCTGCACATGAAGGAGCTCTGGGGCGCATGCGCAGGTGGGTGCTCTGGGGTGTGTGGCATGCAGCACACACAGCCACAGCTGTCTGACGTCATTCCTCCCCATTCCAAGCCCTGAAACCGGAGCTTCTCTGCAGCCATGTACCTTCTGGATAGCACAGAGGACCACAGTCTTTCTCACCAAGGAGGTCTGGTCAAATCCCTGTGAAAATTTTTCCTGTGAATAATTTAGGCAGGTCGTTTGGAATTTTTTTAGCCTCACTTTCCCTATCCAAAAAGCAGCATAAAATAACGTACAGACAACCTAGTATTTTAGAACCTGGGTCCAAGCTCTGTGCGGTAGGGCACGCCTTCAGTCTTAATGTTGTGGAGGAAGAGACAGGTGACTATGAGTTCAAGGCCAGCCTGGCCTACACAGTGAGTGTCCGGCTAGCCAGGGCTGCCTAGAGACTCTATCTCAGAAGAAGGAGGAGCGGAAGAGGAAGAGCAGGAGGAAGAAGAGGAAGAAGAGGAAAGGATGATGATGATGATGATGATGATGATGATGAAGAGAAGAGGAAGAGGAGGAGGAGATGACAACCTGCAGCCTAGCGGCTCTTGGCAGTCTTAGCTCTGCCACTCCCTACTTAGCCTCAGTGAGCCAGTTCACTCTCTGGAGCTCAGGATTTTCATGTGTGTACAATCTCGTTCTCCCTGTGGGCCCTCTCTATAGGCTCCCCATAGGATCGTCTCCTCTAATCCCCTGTTGGTTCGGGAAGCTGCCGCTGCAGATCATACATTCCTAGATCAGGAAGGGAAGTGACTTGCCAGGCCACAGAACTCCAGAGCCCACATTCAGATACCACTGTGTTCTTCCTGTTCACCTGATCGCCATGGTCCTTATGATACAGAAACATGGAGACTGGTGCTTCGGAGTTCGTGAGCCTGAGGACTAAAGTCTTTCCTTCTACACCACCCACTGTGTGCCAGGCCAGGTCTGCAATGGAGGGCAAAGAAGACACAAATGGGCTTAAAACCTGGTAAGGGTGGTATACCAGAACAGAGTACTAGTGTTAGAAAGACCTTAAGAGATGCCTAAAGTCCATCCACATTTCTGTCACAGATGGGGAGACTGAGGCAGAACAGTCAGGGGGAGACAGTGATGGCCGTGCTTTTCCCTGGGTGCTGGAAACCACTGGAATAATGTGAAGGAAGGTCCTGTGAAGAGGGGTCTTGCTGCCCCTCTGCCTCTCCCCAGTACACTGTGAAGTCTATGGATCCCTCCTTTAAGTGTCTTCTGAGCCCACTCACTTTGTCCCCTCTGAGGCTGTTCCAGCACAGGCTCCTCCCTCCTCGTTAATTCTCCTGTGGTTGTTCTTGAATTCTTTCCAGTCCCCTCTCCAGCCTGTGGCTTCCCATCGCTCTGAGAAGGGAGGCTCATCCTCTACCTTAGTCTCCACGCCCTGCAGATTCCCTACCTGCCCTCTGGCTTCTGTTTGCTCTCTGGCCTTTCTGTGTAACAGGTTCAGTGACTTCCCAGATTCCCTGGGCCATCCCGTGCCAGCCCCACATGCTGAAGAGGCTAACATAACCTTCTCTTCTCATTCCAGGTGCCTAGCTGAGGACGTCCTCCCTGGGGAGCCGCTGCGCCGAGGCAGAGGAGGGGTGAGTTCCCCCCCCCCCCCCCCCGCTGTCTCCTGCTTCAGCCGAGGGTGGGCCCAGAGGTTCTTGATTGCTCTGTCACTGCTGGGACAGCATGAGGGTTTGTCTGGCCTCGGGTTTCTGCTAAGGCTGGCAAAGGGGGCAGTGCTGAGGCTGTCCCTGAGGAGGAAGAGGCCAAGGTGTTCCTTCACTAAGCACTCTGATGATACGAGCTTGCCCACCAGGGATGGAGACCTCAGACTGGAAGCCAGATCTAGCTGGTGTGCAGGATGCGAGCCCTTGCTTTCTTTCCCTCAGCTGCTCTTGGATGTAAATTAGACAAGTCCGAGGGTGGCTCCCCTCGGCCTCATCACCGAGCGCAACAGAGCCTCCTATTTTGCTGCTCCTAGAATTGTGTATCCGTGGTTCAGGCAGGTGCTGGGGGACCTGGATGAATGACATTTGTTAAACTTCCTGGTAGGAGAATTATTTTTTCTCTCTTTTTTTTTTTTTTTTTTTTTTTTTAGACAAGTTTTCAAGGGAAATATTCATTGAAAATAAACCTCAAAGAATTTCAACATACAAAATAGCTAAGCGGGTTGTAGCCCCTGTTGAGGTTCAGGTAAGGCTAGAGATTATTAGTTGGCTAATTCCTTAGGCCAGGGAATACCGCAGACCTTTCTTTGGTCGTGGTTTAGACACTTTGAAAATCCTTGGCTCAGCTAGGCATAGTGACACATGTCACTGTAATCCTAGCACGAAGGAGGCTCAGGGAATGTTTCAGTCCAACACAGACTACACAAGAAGGCTTCTACTGACAAAAACAAAACAAACAAACAGAGAAGAGAAAACAAAACAAAACAAAACAAAACACCACGAGCTCACAGCAGGGTGAGCAAGGTCTCAGAGAGGGCAAACTCCAGTGACCTACATTGATTTAGAAATTGCAAAGTCACATGTGTATGTCACTGTTGGGGTTGTTAGGCAGGCCTGCCAGGGCTAACGATATTCTAGAATCTTCTGGTTTAGTTTTGCATAAATGTGATGGGTGTGTGTGTGTGTGTGTGTGAACACGGGCAGGGGCTGTGGGGGAGGGGCTGCGGGGGAGGGGCTGGCGGCGGCGGCGGTGGTGGTGGTGGTGGTGGTGGTGGTGGTGGTGGTGGTGGTGGTGGTGAGCCAAGCTGGGGCAGGTAGAATGAATGGCTAACAGAGCTGGAGTGTGTTATCCCTGAGTGGTGGGGGCAGGGGTGGCTTTAGCTCTGTGTAAGAGGAGCGATTTGGCTCCTTCCTGCCAGCGCTCCGGCCCCACGGAGATCTCTGGGCAGGAAGCGCTGGGAACAAGGAATTCTCTGTCCATGGCCAGGGAGCAGCCAGGATTAGGAGTTCCCGGGAGGGGCCTGCCCAGCAGTTCTCTGACATTTGGGCAAGCTCCTGTGTGCGTGGACAGGGAGGTGGAGGCACAGTAAGGGGAGGTAGAGACCTGTTCAGGCATTTATTCCTTACCTTCCTCAAGCCCTCCCAGGACAGGCTCAGAGGCAAACGAGTCTGTGGGACTCAGGGCGGATAGAGAAGAGACTGTAGGTATTGGCCACCATCTGGGTACTGAGGGAAAACCAGAGTTGGTTTTCACAGGCAGCCTGCTGCAGTGGAGGCCGCTGGCCCCCAAGTGAAGTCCCACGTTACTAGACATAGTATCTCACTAAATTACACCAGCCGCTCAGCAGAGGAGGTAAGAGGAGATACCGTTATTGCCCCATTTGCCAAAGGAGAGCTGCTCGCTCAGGATCGCGGGGCCGAGAAACTGCAAAGCTGTTGTTTAAATTCTTATCCTCTGGATTTCAAGAGGCCTCTGCTGAAATGACTGTCATCCCTGTGTCCTCCAGGTGGGGATGAAGGTGTGCAGCTGTCACTGTGACACCGTGTGCAAATCGAGAGGGACTGGGCAGGGCACAATGGGAGTTCAGAGGAGAGAGATGAGCACTTTAGGGAGGAGGGGACCTTCTGTCCGTCCATTTGAATGGAGCTGGGGTCTGAATGTTCTATTCCAGAAGGGCTCTCCATAGGGAGGGAATGCCCGAACAGTGATGGGGAAGGGAGAAGCAGGGGTCGTTTGGTTTCCCCAGGACTGGAGACCTGCGGGCAAAAGTGGTGGCCGGCTGGGTTTTCAGCCTCCCCTGAAAGTGCCGCGTCCTTCCATTTTGTTTTATTCAGTGGTGCGAAAAAAGCTTTTTCTCCCTCCAGATATGGGGAGGCCAGTCCCATCTGAGCGGCAGACCCCCAGGACATGCTCAGTAGTAGGCATTGCTCCCATTGGCGAGGGATGGAGGGAGAGGACCACCTCTGGTCGGTCGTCCAGGCTTCAGAGCTCTGAGAGCCAGGCTGGCTTCTGCTAGCCTTGCTGGAGAGAGGGCTCTCTAGCCCCACTCTGGACTGCAGCTGAAGCTGCATCACTGACCCTGGGAGAGGACAGATAGATGGATAATGCCCCTAGAGGCCTGGGCTTAGTCCCTGGAGTGTCTCTGGGATGGAGGAGAACTGAGGGATGATTCTGCTCTTAGTGACAGTCACACTTACCGAGAGGGACTTATAGCACGCTGGGTCATTATTGCCCTGTTTTACAGACAGAGACTATGAAGCTCAAAAGAAGGCAATGGCATGTCTTTGTCACACAGAAGGTGGGTGTGTCATTGTCTTCTGAAGGAGCAACAGACTCTGGCATGGGAGCCTGCCCTTCCCTCTCCCACCTTTGCCAGGTCGTGGGCCTCCTCATTCCAGCTGCTCCCCTGTCTCTCTCCCATGCACTGATAGGTTACCCCTTGACTTACTGGCTGCCTGGAAAAGCCCTGGGCTCAGGAATGTTTCCCAGATAAGGCTCGGATAGCCAGCATTCCTTTTGTCTCCATGTCTCTGGGGTCCTGGGTCTCTATGATACTTCTCTGACTCACATCAAGACCAGAATGGAAGTATCTTAGATTTTCTACAAAAGGGTTTTAGTCCCCCCCCGCTACACACACACACTCTGATTTTCCTCTGTAGTCCTGGAGTACAGGACAGGAAAGAAGTGTTTTGTTTTGCTTTGCTTGTTTTGTTTTAGGACAGGGTCTCCTGGCTAGTCCAGGCTGGCCTTGAGTACACCATAAAGCTCAGGATGACCTTGAACTTCCAACCTCCTCTGTTTACCCTTTGAGCGCTGGGATTTCAGGCACACACTGCTACACCTGGATTATGCGGTGCTGGGGATTGAACCTGAGCCTTTATACATATCAAGGAAGTGGTGCTGAGCCATATCCCTAACCCTGATTGTGCCCTTGTGTGGATGGATTAACTGAGGCCCAGAGAAGGTGAATGACTTCTCCAAGGACACACATTCCACAGGGTAGAGCCAGACCCCAGTGCACGGGAATCCAGCTCTTTCTTCCCATTGCCTGGTGCTGACAGCTCTGGGAGCTTCTGGAGTATTCTCTTAGCATCTTCCCACTGCTCAGTGCTTCTTTCTTGATCCATGCCAGTGTGTGTGTGTGTGCGCGCGTGCGTGCGCACGCATGTGTTTCATGCCTCCAGTCCAGAGCTGCTCAGCTGCAGCATAAAGCTTCCTGTAGTTTTAGGTTCACAGTTCCAGCTCCAACCCGCCGCCTGGCCCGTCTTAGCTGATGTAACAAGGCTGGGTTTCCTCTGACCAGCTGAACAAAAGTGACTGACCATTTGATGGGGGTTGGGGAAGTTCCTTCTGTGAGATGCAAGGAGCATGGGTTCCAGCCTGCTATCCAAGGAGCAGATGGGGAAACTGAGGCCAGGATCAGTGCAGTTGCTGCCGTTGGTTGTGTAGCTAGAGAGGCACAGCTGGGAAGAGGCTGGGCCGGGGCTGATGGGAGTGGGCTTTTCCCCCGGGGAAGCCCGAGACTCGGCCTCTGTGAGAGGAAGTGGGCGTCCCTAAGATGGTGTATGTCGGCTGTTTACCGTGTGCTCCATTTTGGTCCCAGAGAAACTCTGCTGAGGGGCTTGGGGCTTTTCCAGAACTTTTACGAACCTGATATGAACCACCCCGATATGAACCAAAACCAGAGGTTTGGGCTTCTGAGGGCGCTGGGGACCCTTGCTGAGCAATACTGGGGTTACTGGGGACGGCTGAGGAACTCTAAATACACTCAAAGCCTTGAAGTTATGTGCTTTAAAGTGATACGCTTTTTGGCAGGCGAGTGACCTCTCTCTCTCATAAAGAGGAATAACTGGGGGTGTTGGAGAGATGGCTCAGCATTTAAGGGTACTGCTGCTCTTGAGTAGGACCCATCACCTACACGGTGGCTCACAACCATCCGTAACTCCAGTTCCAGGGGATCCGATGCCTTCTTCTGGCTTTTGAGGGCGCCAGGCACGCATACAGTGTACATGCGGGCGTGCCAGCGAAACACTCATACACACAAAACAAACACCGATCTTTTTAAAATAAAGAATAGCCTGGATTAGGGCATACCCCACATGTTAGGGCTCAGCAGATTTGTTGAATACATGCATTAATGAGCATCGTGTCTTAGAAAGAACATCTGTTTGTTCCTCATAGCAGCCTTGAGAAAAGGTAGGGCAAGAAGAATGGTCCCCATTTAACAGGTAAAGAAATGGAGGCCAGGGAAGATGAAACGGCTCATCTGGAGCAATTGAATTTGAGTTTTATAGAGTTGGCATAGATTTTTTTTCACCTACCATTTAACCTTTGCCTCACTAAGGCTTGGCTGAATCCTTTTTGTACAATTTGCACAGCCACTGAGGATGTGCCATTTAACACGAACAACCATCTCTCTCTCTCTCTCTCTTTTTTCCCAGTAGTCTAGAGACTCTGACAAACAGGAGAGATAATGGGATCCGTGCTGGGAGGACTGTGTACACCTGGGGAGCCTAGGGAGAGTGAGGCAACTCCTGACAGCTAGCTGGGCCTGGAAGGGTAAAAACATAGCCACGTGGCTGGGCTGGTGGGCAGCGGACTGCCCGCACATGCACATTGTTAATGCAAGGACCTGTTTCTGCCTCAG